AATATAAATATTCTATGTTAATACTTTTATTATGATATTCATACACGTAATACCTATTTGTTATTATTAATATGTTAATTTAAATGATTTTTGTAATAGCTTATAATATTTTTAGTGAAGAAAACGTTGATGATTAAAGAACTATTTAAAAATTAATTTTATATATTTTTATTTATATTTATGAAATTAAATTATTTTTAAAAGATTGTTTTTATTTAAACTTATAATTTGGAATACAGATTATTTAAACTTATTTCTTAGTAAAAATAATTTTATTTTTATTAAATTATATTTTAAGATAATAAAATCTATTTAAATGTATATTTAAAATATTTTTTTAATAAAAATATTTAAATAAATAAATATGTATAGACATCTAATTAATAACGAGTATATAAGTTTTGATATAAAATAGCTGACACATATTTTAAAAATGGATATCCAATGAATAATTTTTTTTAATGAAATATATAATAGATAGTTTTTACTTGTGTCCGTGGTGCTGATGCGTTGAGATCCCTAGTTGAGACTCATCATATTCAAACATTGGTTACAGTACTTTACATCTTCAACCATGAAATGATGCTTCCTTTGGCACAACCAATAAGGAAATAATCGTCCTCCTCAGAGTCTTGAACATCATCCTTCTCTTTGTGCATTTCTTTCTTTTTCAGTCACGTCTTGGTGCTTTTCAAAATGATTATCATAACTACGAATCTCTTTGGAGCATAAAGTTTTGTCTATGTTTAAGACTGTAAACTTCGTCAGCATTTTCAAAGCTTGATTTTCAATGAAAATATAAGAAAAATACTCTAAAATATTGCTTCACTTCGCACTTTCTGATTCTGATGTACTGCATGAATGAACTTCTCAAAGCTAAAATATTTTTATTCAAGGTTTTCGGTCTACCTCTGTGCATTGGTTTGTCCTATGTCTTCTTTCAACATGCTGTATGTCCGTGTGTGATGCTAAAAGGAAGCACAGGCGTACGTTGTTGTTGGTGGAAAGTCACATTTTAGGAAAACTTGCTCTGATACTATGTGTACTAATTTTGCTAGAAACATGTGATGGTAGGTAGAATATTTAAATGATGCGAATAGGTAGAATTGGAACATGTTCAATGTAAGAACACCTTTCATGTATATTTGTTGTTTTCTCAAAATCCAAGTCTGTCTGCCACATATTTTTGTATGTCCTGACCAATGGTACGTGGAAAGCCTCTAATTGGATCATCAATGTGGAGTGTTTTGTTGTTCTAAATCAACTAAATCATGAATCATGATCACTAAGAACCCACCACCTTGTATGATTACAAACATTGACCCTTTTCTGATATTTGTACAACTCAATCAAACATACAAAAAAAAAATACTAGTTTATTTCTTCTGAATGATTTATCCGCATGGTGAACATGATTTAACAGACTCATTTTGAATTAAACGGGCATTAGAACTAATAAACATTAGAAATAAGAGGAAAACCTAGACAGAGGGAGAGGATATTTTTCTTTATGTAAAGAAGAGAAAGAAAAAAAAACTTTTTTATATTTCAAAATTGGTAAGATTACTAATAGCACTATATATATATATATATATATATATATATATATATATATATATATATATATATATTAAGAGATATTAAAAAAACTTTTGAATACAACTGAGAATGGATATTAAAGCTGAATATGAAATTAATGTAACTAAAAAATGATCCCAAGTTAAAAGACAGAAACTTTAAAATATTTTAGTTTTAAATAGATTTATAAATAATTTATAAAATAATTAATGAGAGATAAGCCTTTTTAAATATATTTAAGTAAATATAGAACAGTATTCACATTGAGAAGTGTGTCCCCTGGAAGAATGTGAGGAAGGAAAAAAACTAGTGATTTCCAGCATGGGCCTCGTTGATACGACTAAGGCCTAAAAAAAAAAAACACGTTATACAGTACATTTATATAATGCAGGAAAATGAATGATTATGGTATGTATTCGCAGCAGAGGATCCATTCTGTGATTATTTTTCAACATATAAGAGATACAAAAGATGGTATGTGTATACGGATTAGGGTAAGCGACACATGCATTGTAGGGTAAGAGACGCATGCAATATTTAATTCTTCATTTATAGCTACCATGGTACTTTAATCGAATTTTTAAGCACCTACATATGGTTCTGAATTCTTTTATGCAGAAAGAAAATTTATGCTTTGTGAGTTTTCATACCTATTAATTATTCCTGCAGCTTCAATTCCTTCATGTTTTCTGTTATTAATTCAGAATCTATGGTTAATTTATAGTTTGTTATATTTAGTAAAAATTACTCAGTAGTTTATTTAGATTTCATCATGTCTATAAACCGTACTGTATGTTCAATGAGAATATTCTCGTACATTCATGAATCTATTTGTACACATTTCTCTCATATTTAAATAGTTTTTTTTTAATCAATCATATGTTTCTCAATATTTTCCATGGCTAACAGTTCCTCTCGCTTCCCTTACTTTGTCGTTACCTGCTCTTGAATCAGATTGTGGCAATGCAGAGAGGATTATGGTCACTGGGGTTTTGTTTCTTCAAGCTGTTATGTATGAAATGAAGTCTTTTGAAGGCTAGTTGTATACATTCAGTGTTTGTTTCTCTGTTTGTGTCTTTTGTTTTTTTATTATGTTATCATTGTAAAGTTTTTTTTAATGATTAATTTTTATTGAAATTTTTCACCGATGCTTTTAACAAGTTTTATTCTTTAAATTACTCTTTCTTCATTCAAATGTAAATTCAATATTTTGTTTAAGGAAATGAATGTTTTAGTTCAACCAAAAATTTCTTGATCATGTAGTGTGTATTTGTAGGTTTCATTTTCGGTGATCTAAATATATCAAAGTTTATCTCAGTTAAATTGAGTTTGGGAATTTATGTTTTAACATTATTTTTAACTCTGTAATAAATTTATAATTCCAGAATCATGTTTGAAGTAATTAAGAAATAGGCAAAAAAAAAACAAAGAAGTTATATTTGATTATTTCAAATAAAAAAAACGTTTTTATTCGGTTATGCGGGTAAAAAAAACAATGAATTTGTTGAGAAGTAAAAATAAATTGTTAAAAGTTGAAAAACTCTAATAAAATTATTAAATTATAAAAATGAGTTATTGTGCTAGTTGATAAACGAGCTATCACGTCGACTTTCATTAAAAAAAAAGGTTGACAAATATAAAATTATACGTTTATATATATGTTTACAAAATATATAGTGTTAAGTAGTTAAAATTTTAATTTTTTAGTTAATTCAATATCTTAAAATTTTTATTTAATCATTCAATAATTAAATATAAATATCTTATTATTATCGCACATGTTCTTAGTATAAATAAGATAGATTATGTCCCCTTAATTATAAATAATTGGATTAAATTTGATTTTTATGAAGAAGTTGTTTAAATTATGAAAGTATATAAATCATCATATGTCATGGTTTAATTTCTAGAAATATGAAGAATTGAAAATCTCTACCAATTAGTATTCATAAAAATCCATCTATGTTTTGAAAAAATTATATTTTTTTAACATATTTTTTACTAATAACACAAAGTGAAAGTGCAGTTACATTTGGGAGTACAAAAACAATTTTCGCTAATAAATGACAGAACATAAAACAATCCCATTAATCACTGAGAATAAACAAACATAAAGCCCATTAGCCCAGAAAACTTTTTTCTTCCTGAAAAGAAAAATGATTTGGATTTATTTTGTGACAATTAACCAATTCTATTTAAAAAAAATGAAGATATAAAATAAAAATGTGTTAGATATAAAAAAAAAATTATTCAAACAAAAGTGTATTTAATATTTTTTTTCTGTAAAATATATTTACAGAAAATTTTATTAATACCTTATTGCTTTATATTTCTATAATTTTTTTCTAAATTAAATGTTAATATTTTTAAAATATTAATATTTAAAAATAACATTATAATTTATTTATCATATAACATATATGATAAACTAGTTGTTTATGTTTAAACTTCAATTTTTTTTTCTGACTTTTAAGATATAAAAAAAGCTTTAGGCACACAATTAATTAATTAATTAATTAATTTATTTATTTTATTTTATTTAATTTTTTAACGTTTGCCTGTGAGTGATCAATAGACACTATCCTGATTCATCCAACTCTTCTAACATCATGTTTTTATTTTTTATTACTATTATTTATATGTATTTTTACTTCATATCATTCAATCAATAAAAAATATTATTTTGAAGATGTCAATTGAATATTTATAAAATTTTGGATGTCTATCAATTTTTTTTTCTGTGTAACAATTTTGACGTTATGATATAATATTACCATGTTATATTGAGTTTTAATATTTTAATAAATGTATGAAATATTTGACTAATATTGCAGCATATGAAATTATACAAGGCAATGCATGGTAATAGATTTATTACTCAAAGAGATTAATATAAACTCAAAATTAAATTCATCAAGACGTTATAATATAAATATTAAAATCTTATAAATTAATATTTATTAATTAAAATTAATTAATATTTATTAATTAAAATATTTTTAAAATACAATTTTATTTATGTACAAAAATATTAAAATTTTTAAATATTTATAAATTTTTTATTTAGACTTAATTTAATATTTATTTGAAATGTTAGTATTAATCTAATACTTGTAATTCAATAGAACAAAGGATTATAATATTAATTTCTAAATTATAAAAAATATAAAAATTTTAAATTAAAAATATTTTTAAAATAATAATATTAAATAGATTCTAATTATATTAATCTTGTTTAATTATTAAATAAAAATTATCTTGATATTTAAATCTATATATAACTTTCTATAATTATTGAAGAAGTTAATTTAGAAATATCCAAGTTCCATATTATATCATCTTAACTCACCTCCACAGACTCGTCTTATTTCATTATCTTATCATCACGTGGAACTTCCTACTTTTCCATGGAATCCACAACTATGATGAAATCAACCTTCCCAATCTTCAGGACCGAACCATTTTCCCTCTCAACAACACCTCTGAAACCCTTCAAGGCTTCCGTCAAACCCCCACCGCAAGATTTCGATTACAGACGAGAGATCTCGGAGGAGTCTAGGACCGCCATAGCCCATTCTCACCCGGAGTTGCTGGACTTGGCCGACAATGGGAGCTTGGTCTTGATCCAGAAAAATCGATTTGGCCCAGTCCCTTCTTGGAGGACCGAATTCGTGGAACCTGAATCCATTTGGTTGATAGGAACTACTCATGTTTCCAAGGATTCGGCTATGGAGGTTGAACGCGTGGTTCGTGCTTTGAGGCCTGATAATGTTGTTGTAGAGCTCTGCAGAAGCAGGTAACCACAAGCAATGGTGTTTATAGCCGTTTTTTTCTTTGAAGAATGAACATGATTCATCACTGTTTCAACGTCTAGTTTTATATTAATTTGGCTGGAAGTAGAGACTAACTAATAACATTTCTGTAACAAATCAAACTCAAACTGTGTATAAACTATTCAACTTAAACATTTTTTAATTATGTTTTATGTTTACTCTTTGTCACAGTTTTTCAAAGATAAAAAAATAGGAAATCTGATTATAATTAAAAACTATTTGAAATTGTTTCTTAAAAGGCTTTGAATGAGATCAAGGCTTCTCTCGATCGAATGTAGTGTATGTGTGGGTCGGTCGTGCTGTAGTTCCGTGGCCACGGGAGCTCTTTGATGACAAACTATGTGTTGTGGTGGCGAATCACAGTGTTGGTTTCTTTTATTCTGCTGATTAAGGGTTCAAATTTTAAGTTGAGATTAGACCTTTTGGGACCTTGTCCCTGATTTTTAATTGAAACTTTGTTTTGTTGTTTTCTGTGTGTGCCTGTTATTGAATTCTAAAATTATTACAATATTTAAATTAATTATCTTATAATAATATAATTAATTTAAACAATATAACAACTTCTACCTGATGTTATATATGTTAATTGTGTAAATTATGAGTAATATAAATTATGTAAATTTGCAGACAATATAAACAACTGTAACATTTCATATTTTTCCTTTCTTCTTTCTTATCTTCTTTTGTTTTCCAAATTCTCATATATAGATCTTTTTTTATATTTTGCAAATGGCTATTTAACTATCAACAACATTGTCTATTTCCACATCTTAACTTCAATTGTTACAGATTTCATTTCCAGAGCTGGGATCATGTATGTTTCTGCGGACGAAGAGCTTGGGAAACAATTGCGTTCGAACATGTTCTCCTTGAGTGGCACCGGATTTTTTGGAGCTGTTGGTCGTAGCATAAACCTAGGTAACTTCATAGTTTTTCACATGTGTGTGATAACTACAAAAGAAAAAAAAAAACTTATTTACTATTTCTCTAAATGCAGGCGGTCAAACAGCGTTAGCATTACGATTACTTTTGGCTGCTTTTTCATCAAAGATTTCTTCAGATATTAATCGCCCTTTCGGTGATGAGGTAATTTCAAAGTACTCTAGTTTTCTAGTGCTTAGAAGTATAACTTATTTTGATGAAAGCAATATCTATAATGCAGTTTCGAGCTGCTCGAAAAGCTTCGGAGGAAGTTGGTGCACAAATAGTTTTAGGAGATCGACCAATTGAAATAACGGTATGTACATTGTACATATCATGCATCACATTAGAATTAACTTACCAATTTTTAAGATTTTTTATCAGTCACAGCTTGCATTAATCACATGAAGGCTTATCAACTACCCTAGTTTATGTTAGTTGGATTTCTAACCTGTTTTTGTTAGACTCACTGTTTGGCTTGTGACTACATGTTCGTTATGAGGGGAATTCCTACATATAACAACTTATGGTCTCTGATGATGAAACTACTTGCTACTCTACATGTGTAGTTCCTATCATAATACATCCGTTACATGAAACATGAATTTTCTCTTAGATTTTGCTTTCAAAATTGGTTCCGGTGTTAGTAATACAATACGTGAAGACAACCAACAATGATGATCTAACAATTGCAAATAAGTGTATGAGACCAAGATCCATGCTTAATTACATATGCCACACCTATCTTGGTCTTGATCCTCTCATTTTTTTAATCTAGTATATGTGTTAACTAGAAATATGGTTAAATTATAATATATCCGTCTTATCTTGCAAATTAGTTTTGTAAAATTAAGTTAGAGAACGTAGGAAGTCGTTCCTAGTGATATTGAACTACTGTCTCATCCATTTTCAGTTTTTCAAATGCATCACTCTTGTTGAATCACCCCTATCCTCCATGTGAAGAATATGTTGAAATAAGATTAAATTATAATATATAGTTGGATATAATGATCTCCATTTTAACTTTTGCGTGGTGATATTAGATCTGGTCCCTTTTCCTTTACCCATAATCTATTTTGTCCAGCTACCTTTGGTTTTATATGTTAATTAGTTATTGTTAATCAAAGTTCACATATATGATTTACAAGTAGTGTCATTATCTTTTATGTGGCTACGTGTAAACTACATGGTGCACTGATGTAAAGAAAAAATGCATTATACAACCCTTTTGTTATTTTCTACAATTGGAATCTCTAGAATTTGATGTATTGATTTCAGACCCTTCGAAAAGAAAACTAATATAAATTTATATGATGGAGTTTTTGTTTAAAAAAAATCATTTTTCCTTGTTTGTAATTTGTTTTGCAGCTTCAAAGAGCATGGAAGACTATGAAATGGATTGAGAAATTAAGTTTAGTGTTATCAGTTTTTCGTGGTATAGCATCTCCATCTAATAGTTCTGTAAATAAGCTAAAGGTTAGTTGTTTGACCAACATACTACAATTTTGGTTTATATTTTTTTTACATGCTAATCTAGCTTTTATATACTTGAATGAAAAAAAAGGGGGACTTTGACATTGTCCTTGCAGGTAATTAACTATCTTATTGAAATAATATATGATGTAATAACACAGTTTAAGAATGTTTATTTGATCGATGTTAGTTTGCCTTGGATTTGGTTTTATAGTTTGTCCAGGAATTTACATATATGTGGTGAATCGTTTATGATTCATTTCTATTAAATCTGAATCACTGCTCATGAACTTAGTTGGATTGATAAGCTTACTACGATGGTATTTTGAGCAAGATACTTTGATGTAGTGAAAAATGTATACATTCATTCAAATCAAACTAATATATATTTTGATAAGACAAAGGAGTAACTCACATCATCTTAATTTGTATTTATTTGAACTGCATGTTCTTATTTTATGTGTGTGTTTTTGTAATTTTTTATCTTACTGCACAATTCATTTGCAAGTTGTATTTTAAATATGTTTCACTTTAATGCGCATACAAGGTGAGAGGACTAAGGATCTCAACAACCTATTTACTGTACAGAAATTTTACTGACAGAAGAGTGTGAATATATGTGTGATGGAAGATGCATGATTCATTATGATATTAAATCCCATAACCAAAGTTTGCCGTATAAAAATTATTTGACAAACTAAAGAATCAAATATTGTTAGCTGCAGGAAACACGTTCGGGTGATGATAAATTTCAACTTTATGAGCAGCTGAGTTTATCATTTCCTTCTTTACTTTCACCTCTCATACATGAACGAGATACAGTAAGTCTTTCTTTTTCCTATTTCACTGGCGTGTTTTTCCCTTTAAACTGACATAAATATGAAAATTATAATAATTTTATTTTTGAAAACGCCATATCTTAAAAATTTTGTTCTGGCCTAGATAAATGTTGGGCAACTCATTGAAGAAGGTACTGCATAATAAATAAATTATCTTTGGTTCAAGTTGTGAAGGAGTTGCATGCGTGAGTGACTACCCTTAAAAATGTTATGTTACACTTGTAATATCCTTTCACATGTGATGTGATGAACTTCAACAAAGACAGATAAACTGTGGTGCATCTATTTTGCAGTATCTTGCATGGTCATTGAAGCGTAGCAAAGCTGTGAATAACAGTAAAAGGGTTGTGGGTGTGATTGGAAAAGGCCATATGAACGGTGTGATATATGCACTGTTATGTGATACAGGGAATTTGAGATTTAGAGACCTTGTAGGTAAAGATTCAAATGATGGAGGTTCTGGTAGTTGGATTGATGACCTAATCAAGAGTTTAGTGAGGGATACAATCATTGGCATATTCTTATGGGCCTTATACGAATTCATAAATGGAAGAGCATAAATCAAGCCCATTTATTTATTGGAATTTCCATTTTTCAAAGAACTTGTAATTGTACATCATACCTTTTATGTAGTAGGTGTGGTCATTCAGTTCTTGTTAAAAAAAATAGGGATAAAAAAAATGAGATTGTTTTTGTGTTAGATTAATTGATTTTTTGCAAACAGATACTGTGTATAAAATAAAGCTTTTCATTTAGATTAAGTGTTTTTTTAAGACATATTATACGTAAATATACTATAAATTATTGTGTAAGTGATAAATATTTATCAAGCCAACATTATTTTTCTATAAAGAAATATAACTTTATTACTTTTAACACTAACTATCAACTTTTTTTTATGGAATTATTTGAATTTTCTTTAACTTTATTGATTTAGAACTCTTCTACTATAATTATTTCAATCTATATACCAACTTTATCCGTATATTTTAATAGAACAAGTTTATGTTATATACCTTACAGAGGAACAAGCAAGTTTATTTGATATTTTAAATATTTAAAGAATAAAATTATCATCAAATAAATATTTAATTTTATAATAATATTAAATTTTAAGAAATATTTTTTAAATTTATTCTGAAAAGTATGATGATATCAACAATAATTGATATATTTTGAATATATATATATATACTTGAGTTCAAAATAATCTAGTAAAACAAAATAAGGAATGAGTTAAAAGTATGTATACTGGATTGGATTGAGATCTCAAAAGTGTTTAAAAATATAAGAAAAATTTAATTGTATTCAAGACTTATAGATTATAAAAATAAATCTTACACCTGTCATTAGTTATGATAAATAATTTTTGTGAAAAGACAACAAAAATCTACATATTTAATTTAGTGCTTTCTATTACTTATAAAATATATACAAAATTTAATAATTAAAATATTTTTATTTGTTGAAAAAAAACCATATATATTATATAAACTAAAGAATGAGTATTCTTTTTTTCTTTTAAATTGAAAATATTACAAGTTTTATCTCGTGGCGAGTCATCACAAGGAAAACTATAATCAAAATCTTTTTTTATCGGGTATTAACTTAGAATAACATACATTTAATATGTATTTAAAGCATATTTGATTAAGATATATGTAGTTGTATGTAAAACCAACAGCGAAATCATGATGAACCAAAAAGTCTTCATGTCCTATTGTTAAGAATAAAGAATTGTTAAGAATAAATAATTACTATTTTCATTTACAACGTTTAACTAACCAGACAATCATATGTTTCATCTCGCATTTAACGTCGGTTGGTTTAAGATAAAAATATATCGAACCTATAGGAAGTTTTATCATGAGCTTATTGTATTCATTGGACAAATATAGGTTAAATCAAGATTTGTTTATCCGGAGTACCAAAAGTAAGCATGATATCGTTATGGACATAAAGTCCGAGAGTATAGAACTCCAGAAAGAGACTAGCCCAACTTAAGTGAAAAATGATAGTTTATTTATAATCTAACATTCTTGTCAATATATTATCTTGATTCTACTCTAGATTATAATCTCTAAATAAAAAAGATAAGATAGCTCCATGAGCAAAAACTTCTATCCTAATGAAGTCTCGCAATATATTGACGATGAATATATAACGCACTTTGAGTAAAAATTTTAAAATATTATTTTAAATATTATTTTGTTTTTGTTTTTTTTTTCTAAATGTGTATATTTTTATGTGTCATAATTTTTCTCTCTCATATTTTTATTATTTTTTAAAATATATAAATTGTAATAATAATAATTTTTATATAAAATTATAACATTTAATATTAAAAATTATTACAAAATAAAATCTCCTTTGTATCCACATACATTTTCAAATAATCAATTAAATCAATACATATTATAATGGAATCCTCTTTATATGCAAATACATTTTCAAAGAATCAATTAAATCAATACACAAATTATTAAATAATAAAAAATTGAACTTATTATTTAAACCCACTTGTAACAACAAAAAACATGTTAATTAAGGGAAAAAAATACATGAAGTTAAATTAAATTTAATTAATACATGGATAAATTTTAAATTATTAACTCTTGTGATTTTAATTATTTTCTACAACTTCACACAATTCTTTCAGATATCTTAAATTATTACAATATAAATTTTTTAATAATAAAAGTTAAAAAAAATTAAATATGATTTTTTTTTAATTTATAACATTTTTTATCAAAACACATAATTGCGTCGTTGTTGAGACTCGTTGAATCTCATTTACAAGTTATTGCTAGGTTGCGAGCCAAAATTTGATTCTCATTATTAGCTATTAATCTATTATGCAAATATTTTAGTTATTAAATATAATTAAAAATATAAAAGCTAACCATTTAAAATTATTAATTAATAATGAACTTCAATGTAAGTAACTAAATATAAATGACTTTTACATAAAAATATTGTACATAATTTTTTTTCTTATTTTTTAACATTTATTACAAATTATAATATATTGAATATTTTTTTATTTTTAATTAATTAGTTGAATTTTAATTTATTATGATTGTGAAAGTCAAAATTTGATCCTCATCCCTACTCTATTAATTTATTATGCAAATACTTTAGTTGTTAAATATATATATATATATATATATATATATATATATATATATATATATATATTAAACCTAATTACTCAATTTTAAATGACTACTTTATACATAAATCTTAATATAAATAATTACAATATTAATAAAAATTTACATAAAAAATAATTTTTATATTTATTTAATTTGTATATGTTTATTTCCGAATAATACATTGGATATTTGATTATTTTTTTACTTTATATTTTAAAATTAATATATTTAATACTAATTGACTGTTACTGTGTAAATTTTAGAAGTTATTAAAATTGTAACTATTTAGATCTAGATAATTAATATATTTATGAATATAAATATAACAATATCCAACCGTAAAAAATGTATATGAATTCTAAAGTCTATTTTGGTAAACATCCACATAATCAATCTTAATACACGCTTAAAAGAACCATGAGTTTTTTTAGTAGGGATATATTTTCAAAGTTTAATAACAAATTCATCAAAGATTCTACATTTTATTTTTCTAAGTAAAATATTTTTCATTAATTATATATCTATATATTTATAATCTTAATATAAAATATTTTATAATTTTAATAAATTATTTATATATATATATATATATATTATTAGTAAAGTTATAAATATATGTTTGATTTTTAATTGGTTTAACTATGATTAATAAGGATAAAAATAAAATATTAATAAAAATTTAAAATTAATAAATTAAGATTAATGAATTATATAATAATAATAATAATAATAATAAAATAATAATTGGAGGAAGTATTTGATAATTTTCATTTTGTTATTACGTTGTTGGTGAAATAATAAAAAATAATACCAGGGAACTGTTGGCAAAATTAAAAAAGATAAGGGGCATTTAGGCAGAAACAAAATATTGATTCTATATATATATGTATTTTTCTGCAATCCGCATCTTTGTCTTGGTCAACCCAAAGAAAATATCTGTTACTCTCTGCTCTGCTTAGGGTTCCAACCCAAAACTTATCGTTCTCATGCAAGGTGATACATTGTTTTCCGATTCGTTCAATCCCCATCTCCAATTTTCAGTTTCATTTCTGTTTGTCATTCAGGATTGTTTCCTTCGCTTCTTTTCTACTTGTAGGGAAAATCAAGATCTGAGATCTGGAATTCAAATTCAAGTTCTCGATCCACTACTCTGTTCTTTGAGATTCTCGTCAGCCAATCGATTTAGAACCTTTTGCTGTTCTACAAAGTAAGCTTCTTCTTCTCCCTATTCGATTGCCCATTTCTCTCTCTATTAATTAAATTTAACCCCCTTGTTTTTTTTTAGATGTGAAAATTGTTTTTATTTAAAATTGTCATAAGGTCAGATTGTATGTGTTTGATTGTACATATGTAATTTGTTTATTTATATGTGATTTGGGTGTGGTGGTGTGGAAAATTTTAACATAACATGTTTAGTTCATTATTCTTTTGCCGCATTAAATTTGATGCATATTTTTCCTCGTGAAAGATACCCAATAGTATTAGATTATACTATTAGCAGTAAATCAAATTGCTGTTTGTATTCCCAAGTAATATTTTTTCTAAGTTTGATAATTTATGCTTATTCATGCATGCACATTAAGTGTTGAGTGTTTCTTAAACCGTGTTCAGGGAAAATGAGGCCTATTTTTTGTGGAAATTTTGAATATGATGCCCGGCAGTCGGAGTTGGAGCGGCTTTTTAGACGATACGGGAAGGTTGATAGGGTGGATATGAAGTCTGGTAAGTTTTTTCCTTTTTAAATACTCTCTTGTATATTTTAGGGTGGATGAATTTGTTATTATTTGGATTGGGTTGGGGATTATCCTGGAGCCTTTTAGGTGTCTATTACATATATGGTTTATAAATGAGTCATCAAGCTTAAAAGATAAAATCCTCAAAGTTTAGAAGACATGTTTTCTTTATTTTGAGCAGATTCTGTCATTTTAAACATTTGAATTGATTTTTTCTTGAATTTTATATCTGATTGTGGCTTCGTGTGGACAGAATTTATAACTATGTTTTTCTATTCAGTTAATATATATAAATTATATATTAAATATTACATCTATACATACTCCAGAAAAATTCAAATCCTGGAAGAGTAACTGGGTCTAGAATGAGAACTGTCCTGTTAACCGGTAGTATATGTTTAAAATAATAAATTGGTTGATTTATAACTCAAACGTTTGACTTGCCAAGTGGAGAAGTATCTCAATGATTTCTCAACCTGAACATTAAGTTCAAGACGGGAGTAAGAAGTAAACATCCACAAGTTGCACCGTTGCAATTAGACCTTTAAGACATCCAGCAGCATGGGAGCAGCACCTTTGACTACCTGTGGTTCAGACGCTACACGGTGTCTTCCTGGTGGTTCAGTTTCAGGAGTTGGACCTTGGTGTACAGCTTCTGGTTGAGCATTTGTGGGGGATCAAGATATTTTTAAGTAAAAATATCATCTTTTTTGAAGCATCGACCCCCATACTCAACATTTTCTTTGACGCAGGATTATCTTGGCATATCCATTTTCTCCCAAGCTAATTGATGGGCTTGTCCGAAATCCATTTCCTGCCTGTGATGCACATCTTCTTTAATGAAGAATTGTTCAATTTGATCTGCAATGACACACCTGTTCCACGTATTCATCAGTCACATTTGCCTTTCAATTTTTGTGCCTTTGCCCAGCCCTCTTTTGGACATGTTTCGAGGTTGAAATATTGCCAACCTCACAGCAGAGGCAGCAGAATGGATGGAGAAGGCACTCATTTTCCATTGACCCTCATGAGACATACACTTTTGGGTTCTTGTACTTGACATCAATTTGTTTACTAATCAAGGTCTGTTGCTAATTCTATTGGTCAAATTAGTTTATAGAAATAAGGAGGTTTACCAAAATTTAAATTTCCGAGCAGTAAGTGTTGAGATTTTGTGCATGGCAGAAAGGTCCGTAATCACATTAGAGGTCAAGTGTTTGTTGATTGGTGTAACGGGTGTAAATGGCTCTGTTCAATTTTTTGGTAATTAATTTAATACCTAAAATAGAAAACACTGCATGGTTTGTAGGATTTGCTTTTATCTATATGGAAGATGAAAGAGATGCTGAGGCTGCTATTCGTGCTCTTGATCGAGTAGAATTTGGTCGGAAGGGACGTAGACTCCGTGTGGAATGGACAAAGGTAACACAACATTAGTATCTTTCAGTTAGAGTGTTGTTTTTTATCTGTTACGTTTTAATGATCATGGCACATAATTTGTGATAATTTGTTGCAGCATGAACGTGGTGTTAGAAGGCCTTCTAGTTCAAGAAGATCTTCAGCTAATGGGAGGCCATCAAAGACCTTGTTTGTAATTAATTTTGATACATACCATACCAGAACAAGGGACTTGGAGAGGCACTTTGAACCATATGGCAAAATAGTCAGTGTTAGGATCAGAAGGAATTTTGCTTTTGTTCAGTATGAATCAGAGGATGATGCTAGCAGAGCACTGGAAGCTACAAATATGAGGTAATTTTAATGTATTTGGATACTTGCTTGGTAAAAGCATTTTTTTTCCAAAAAAGTTCTTTCAAATCTAGCATGGCCTCTAGTCATTGCATGACTACTGTTAAGAGATTTGACATTTTGGCTTGGTGTATACCTGTATCCATTAGCAAATTAGTTTAACGACTGAAGAATATTTTATCATGTTAATTTTAACTTCTAGTTAGTTTTACCTTCTTCCCCTGTATATTTTATAATTGACTTATTACCACTGTTATGATAACACAATATTTTTCCTCAACAGCAAGTTACTGGATCGAGTTATTTCAGTTGAATTTGCTGTTAAAGATGATGATGATAGGAGAAACGGATATAGCCCTGAGAGAGGCCGTGATCGTCAACGAGATAGAAGCCGTGATGGAAGACGGTCCCCTAGTCCTTATAGGAGAGAAAGAGGCAGTCCTGATTATGGCCGTGGGCCCAGTCCATATCAGAGAGAGAGGGGTAGCCCTGACTATGGTCGTGACCGAAGCCGTAGCAGAAGCCCCCCTAGGAGAGAGCGAGCTAGCCCTGCATATGGGCGTAGAAGCCCTAGTCCATATAGAAGAGAAAGGGAGGGTTCTGACCCAGTTCGTGACTCCAGCCGCAGTCCTTATCACAAAGAGCGAGGGAGAACTGACCATGGCATTTCTCCTTCTCATAGTCCCGAAGAAAGGGGGAGGAAAAGCCCTCAAAATGGTCGCGGTTCTAGCCAGAGTCCTCGTGATACTGGGAAGGCTACCCCTGAAAATGGACATGGTGCTGGAAGCCCTGATGAAAAAGGGAATCCCAGCCCTTACAATGGTTATGGAAGGAGCCCAAATACTGTACCTGATCCTAGGGACAGTCCCAATTATGGTGGTCCTGAAAGTCCCATGCATGAAAGATATCGCAGGTTTGCAAACATATATTTATTTGAGAATTTGTTTTAACTGTTTATTTTCTTCACGCATCTCTACTTTGATATCTTAATCATTTTAAGTGTGTTCATTTTGATGATGCAGCCAGTCCCCCCCTGCAGACGAATGATTTCAGTCTTTGATGAAAAAGGTGCTGGAAGGGCAAACTGATTGTAGTTCTGTTTCGTGACTGGACTAAATTTAATTTCAGCAAATTATTTTAGTGCAGTAGTGATAAAGCTCTGAAACTTGTGTTGTTGTGACAACTTCCTAGTTCTTTATTTGTTTAGTTAGTTTAATATTTCTTTGTGAGCTTATTAGTATTGTAGAATCTTTGTTTACAGTTAAAAAATGGTACTATATCTTCTATCAATATTGTGGCAAGTGGCAATGTCGCTAAAATCCCTGTGTGCCGTGCCCTCGAAGCATTCCAACATATTTAACTGCGATTCCATCGTATGACTGGTGCTGGTTGTATGTTGGATTGGTAGTGAAACGTTCCGAAGGCATTGTATTTCTAATTCCTGATGTTATTCTTGAATGGAGCACCATACCTTTTAGTCCCTAAAATCAAGTTACCCAGTGGACTGGAGCAAGAAATAAGTAGAACTGGTATTTTGATTTCGGGTCTATTTTTAATAACTCAAGTAGGACCTATTTCATTTACACTAACAATTTTTACCTATTAGATTTAAATTAAATGACTTATTTTATCCTATTTATTATTTCAATTTTACTTGACTATTATTTTTAATATTAATTTGCCTTTTTTATAAAGTCAGTTGTGAAATTGTCTAATAATAAAGTAAAATATGATATTAAAGTGGTTATATTCATTGATATGATATGTCAGTTTATCTTAATAACGTGTTAAACATATTGTGTAGATCTAGTACATATGTTGGTAGATATGTAAAGTGTCACGTTTTTATATTTTTTTATTAAACATCTTTTATGACTTTTGACAGAGGAATATGTACATTATTTAAAAAATAAATCAAATTGATATTAAAAGATAATAATAATAAAATAAAATTGAAAAAAGTTAATAAATATAATACGATAAAAAAAAATTCATTTAGCTTTTTAGCTTTTTGATTTGAGATTTTATCAATTACATTATCAATTTTATTCATGGTAGGGATAAAGTGAGCCTAAAAATAATACAATTTAAAAAGTTTAAAAGGTTATATTGTCTTACCATTTTTAAGATCATAATGAGAAACTAAGTTTATTCTTCATATTTAGGAAATGGATGAAGTCTTATACTTGCGGGCAAACAAATACAGAGCTTATACCGAATTAAGGCATTTGCCTTTTACTTGCAAGTTGATAATAGAATCATAAAGGTAGTTCTTTTTTTTTTTTTGGATGTCACACACTGTTTTTTGTTCTAAGAGAAGTCTATTGTTTAGAAATTCGGACTTACTAATTTACTCAGAGGTGGAGGCAGACTTCATGGTCAAAGGCCGAAAGTAAAAAATATATATATTCTTTTAAAACTTTTAAAACAATAATATCAAAATAAAAAGTTGTATATTAAAATTAAATATAATTAAGATTGCGAACCATGAATCTTATAGGTCCGTATCTCCGCCACTGAATTTATTTATTGGCGTTAAGATTGTGATAAGTGAATTGATATAAATAACTAATCACTCTGCTAATTTGAGAAGTATAAATATCACAACAAGTTATGGTTTAATAGCACACAAATACACAACCACTCTTGTTATTGATTTGAGAAGAAATTATGAAACTGAGTTATAATTGAAATAATAACTAAAAGAAGTAAATTATTTTAAATGTTATCAACATTGATGACCCTATTGAAAATTTTTAATGAACACATAGAAGTATAATAACTACTTAGGACGAACTAACAATTATTAATGTAATTTATTTATTATTTTTAATTATTTATTTTATTATAATAAAATAATTATTATAAAACATTTTAAATATGATCTTTTTATATAATTAAATATTAATTATACAATTGATTAAAATAATTTTTAATATTTTCTTTTATTTTTGGTTGAAAAGAGGCTAAGACATTATTTAATTTAGTGTCATAAAATCAAATATATTATCACATGGACAATATTGTAATTAAAAATGAGAATATAATTTTTCAAGTAAGAGACATTATTAAATTTCTCAGTGTATAATATATATAATGATAGAGTAATATATATGAAGAGTTTGAACATCTTCATCTATCCAACTTAAATACTCATAATTCAAAGAAAATCTTAATATTTAGAAGAATCATATTTAATACTTAACAAATATATGAAAATATAAGGTCTAAGTTAACAGTTAGAAAAGAAATATTTTAATTATTATTATATCTCTAACAAGAATACCAATGAATATCTCATTTGTTTTCTCTTGAAGATCTTTCTCAAGATCTTCATTCCTCCTCAACTTACCAACATTTACATCCTGCATAGGTTTTCACTAACATCACATCTCACATGGATCCATTGCAATAGTAGCAACAGTTTTTGGTGTCTCCAAATTTCTATCACTAGGGATTTCCTTCATCTTTTTTAGGTCAAACTTCTCTTTTGATGACCATTTCATTGTCTTACAAATTTCTTAAGCATCTTTGAATCTTCCTCACTATCTATATGTTCCATCTTTATAATCATGGGTGTTACCTTCCTAACTCCTATGTCATGTAGAGTTAACACTCCACAATCAATACTACAAGGAAAGTCCTTCCTTTTCTTTAGGTCAAACTCCTCCACTAATGATTTTTCATTGTCTCACAAAATCTCTCAAACATCTTTGAATCTTCCTCACTATCTATATGTCCCATTACAATCATGGGTGTTACCTTCCTAACTCTTGTGCCATATAAAGTTAACACTTGAGGTTTAATACCCACATGGAAATTTCAGATCATTCATTGAATTAATGTCCTTGATAAAAGAACTAAAAGGATACGTCTTAAATCTTCTATATGATCTTTTGGATAGTTTGAAGGGTTTGATAACAATGATAGAGATAAAGATGAATAAATACCAATAATTTTCATCAATTAAATTTGAAAAAAAAAATGTAAAATATATAGTGAATATAACTTAAGAAATATAAACATGTATAACATTTGTTCTTGCCACCTTAGTCTCAATTTTAACATGTAATGGATTTTTGAAAATTTTAAAAACTTTTGAATAAAGTTTCTTTTGTTTGTAAAACATTTTCCAACTTATTAAATCAAGAAAACTAGAAAGTGAACAAATTTCAACCATCATTCTCAACCAGAAGTACAAACATGACATACATGCGTGCACAAAGTTAAACATGCAAATGGGGACAAAAGTTTATATCACCATAGTGTGACTCCCAATAATAAGAGATTTATCAGAGTTCACCCCCCTAATTTTAAAAGTCAAGCAAAGAAACACTAGAATGAAATTCTGGGACAAGATTGTAGTTGTCTACTTAACTCATTTTCCTTTTTTTCTTCTTTTCTCTTTAAATGGGTGTGTTTGTTTTATTTTAAAAGAAATAACTAATTTAGAGAGTGAGAATGAGAGAAATAACAAGTAAATATTTACATGTGTTCCGAATTACTAAAATAAGGACGAGGTTTGTGGTCATAAATGATCGATAAAATAAATTAATATTTGATCAAATATGAAAAAAACTCTTAATTTATATTATTTCTATCTTATAATAAAAATTTTGGTCCTCTTACATTGTGTTAAGGATTTTGTTCCTTAAGTATTTATTCTAACACCCTAAGAGACTTGTCTTGATAAAAGTTTTATCTATTTTAAAGATTGATAATATGAACCAAAATGTCTAACCTAATGTATAGAATTATTATTCCGTATTTTATATATATGTCACGTACATTAATTTCTCTTGCATGAACATGTTCAATTAGTTTTACATATGCACATTTCTTGTCGAACCTAATATTTGATTTGTGATAAACATTGAAACGTAACTTTCATGTCTCGAATTCTTGCAAATTTCATATATTCTCTTAGAAGGACTTCTACGAGGATGTGTTTACCTAACTCTCCTCCTATGATAATCACTCACTCACTTTGGTTCTTTGTTGGTTTCTTCAATTAATGCTTATCATGATTTAATAAAGATAATTAAAAGCATAATTCAACATAACACTAAAATACATTAAAGAAAAATATACTTAGTTATTAATGCTTCTTTTGACACTAACTTTGATCCCGTTGGGTTTCGAGTTTTTCCACTCTGTCTCGTTCTCGATCTATATTATTTTAAAAAAATAATTATATTTATAATAAATTAATTTTACTATTTTATGTATTTTTTATATATAAATAAATATTTATAATTTTACAATTTGTAATCATTATTAATTAAATATATTTTTTAATTTATTATATTTATATTAAAATATGTATTAAAATAAATATTTAATTATTTTTTATTTATACATATATAAAATATTTATAACATTATTATTATTATTATTATTATTATTATTATTATTATAATATCTGCACTCAAATATTTGAATACGTATAACATTGTTATTATAATATTGTATTCAAACATTTAACTACATATGTATATAAGTTAATTCATTTTTAAGTTGTCATTTAAAAATATGAAATATATGGTTTATAAGAAAATATTTAATAAGTTAATTCTTATTTAATTAGTTAAAAGTAATAAAATTTTAAATTATCAATTTTTTAATCATTTAAAAGAAAATTAATTTATTAAGATAAAATTAGATATATGACAAATAAAAATAATAAGATCCAAAAAATATGAGATAATAAAATCTAATAAATATAAATTATAAATAAAATAATATTAGTTGTTACTAATATTTATGTAAAATATTTAGAAAAAGATAAAGAAAAAAATTAAAATTTATGTTCATCAAATTAGTTGAAAAGATTAAAAAAATTGATTGGATAGATTAAAGAAATGTAAAAAAACTGAAAAGTAACAAAAATTGAATAATGTAATAAACTAATTGATATAAAAAAAGCAAAAGAATTAAAAAATTGATAGAAAAAAAGTAAAAAATAGTGAAATATAAAATAATAACATTATATATAAAAGAAAAAAAATACTTTTAAAATATTAATATTTTAAAATTTAAATTCAAAT